TGAAAGCAATAAAAATATAATAGCATTTTTCAATTCACAGCTTTGATTTTGAAAATGAAATTAAAGCAGGGACTCTGAAAAACAGTCAAAAATTCCCAGGGAAAAAAAGGAAAATTGCCTGCAATAAGAATTTCATACTTTCAAAAACTAAAAATTTCTGAAAACTTTGCACTAAAACACTACTTGTAATTCACGTGTATATCTTGTCAATAATCACCTTCTTCAAAGAAAATCTAATTTTAATATTTTTGATTTATCACTTATTCACAAATACAAGATAGGAAAACAGTTTTCCTGCCTTCTGAGGATAAGGTTCTTCATTTCTAAAAATACTATAATCAGTTTCAAAAAGCAGAATCAAAACCTTCCATGTCCTTTCCTGAGTCCCTCTCCCACCAGCTCACAGCCATCTCATTTGAAATCACACACACATTTGTTCCTGAGTCTGATTTTCCTTCTTCCAAAAATAAGATTTTGTGGATACAAAGTTTTAAAGTGTAACTACTTTTTCTCCATTTTGTTCCACTTTGATATTAATCAAAGCTTTATATTAATGGGCATTTTCATGCGGCTACAACATAACAACTTTCAGGTACTCAAAAGGAGCTTTCTAAGATAAACTGTCCTTAGCTCCTTATGCCATGTGCATTTCATTACATTTTAACTAACATAAACTGACAAAGAATGTAAGACATAACTTTTTCTAAATTTTTTTTCATTTATTTTTATTAGTTGGAGGCTAATTACTTTAAAGACATAACTTTTTAAAAAATCTAAGATACTGAATTCATCATGACACCAAATTCCTGCCATTTGCCAGGGACAGGAGTTTACTGTAATAGCAAAAGCATTTTAAATTGTGAAACTACAAATCGGCATCTACAACACTTAATGTCAATCTGCTTACGTTGCTGTGCCAACTAATGGAGACTGAAAAAGATACGAACGTAGCTTACTGGAGCTTATCAAAGATACACAGACAGACAAACTTAAATTCAATATTTAAATGTCATAAGTCAATAACACTGTAATTTTAGGAAACCATTAGCAGTAACCATTCAAGTACTTTCCACGGGACAAAGGACTTCAATTAACAGACATCAAGGAATCCAGTTCTTCTGGGGGAGACTCTATCTACCAGATATTAAATACATCAGGCTCAGATAGCTTGATGTCAGTAAGCATCAATTTCTTCAATTTCCAGATTTCTGAGTACCTCTTCACCAAGACAACATGACTTTGTCGTGTTTCCCCTACAAGAAACAAGGATAGAACAATCCAGCTAGGCAAACACTAGTGCCTTTCCTGTAATAGTTTTCTCTTCATTACAAATGACTAGAGAACTTTGTGATTTATGATTTTGCTTCCCAGGTAACTTGACTACAGGAAGAACACATACTGAACTGAAGAATACGTACTAAAGAAGACAAGTATTCTGATTTGGGAAACAGCAAGTTTTAGAGTGATGCCATGTTAGGCATCCAGGCTTCAGTTTTCATTCTCAAACTAAGTTTAGCAACAGTACAACCCTGAAGCCTGGGTCCAATTCTTACCAACATGACCTATCAAAGACTGTGAACCTGAAAGGCTGAGACACACAGTGAGGACTACGACATTCTCAAAGGTAATACACCCCATGGGCAGTACCAGATCCAGGTGAATGCCTAGCAGTCTGCCCCAGCTGGGCAAGCTTCTGATTCCAGCAGCACCAAGCAAACTGTGTTTCCACCTTACAAATTCCTGTAAGATGGATTATATTCTCTCACAAGATGGATGGTATTAAATACTAAGAAATATACATATATTGTTCTCTGTGCCTAGTTCCTGATGCTGAGCCCCTAAAACCTTTGTCTTTGTGGGGTGCTCCAAGAGTCTTATGTTCTAATATTTCTAGTTCCTGACACAGAACTCCTAGGAGCTCTGCTATTTCCTGAGTGATAAGAATATCTAACACCAAGCTCCCAAGTCCCTCTGAATCTGGGAGTGATCAGAATGTCTTTTGTTTTAATGAGGTGACTTTTGGTGGGCTTCTAGATGGTGGGTAGTCACCAGAAAGAAGCCTGAATTTTCAGGTCCATCCACCATTCTCTGGAGAGGGCCAAGACGCGGAATTAATAATCCATCATGCCTACAGGATGAAGCCTTCATAAAAAGTCTCTCTAGCACAGGGTATCGGAGAAGGCAATGGCAACCCACTCCACTGCTCTTGCCTGTAAAATCCCATGGACAGAGGAGCCTGGTAGGCTGCAGTCCATGGGGTCGCAAAGAGTTGGACACGACTGAAGCGACTTAGCAGGAGCAACACAGCGTATAAGAGCTTCCAAGTGAATGAACATATCTAAACTGCAGGAGGAAAAAAAAATAAACTGCAGGAGGGTGGCACATCCCAGCTTCATGGGTCTAACACTCCTACCTCAGGAGACATCTGGACTTTGCCCTATGAACCTGACCATCTATCTGCATCCTTCATCATATCCTTTATTAATGCATTACCATAAGCTGGTAAATAAATGGACACTTGCATTTCCACGAGTTCTATGAACCACTCTAACAAATTCTCACGTCCAAGACAGGGGTTATGAGAAAGTGGGCTTCTGGCCAGTCAGTCAAAAGTATCAGGAATAACCTGGGACTTGAGACGGGCATCTTAATTGGAAGGCAGTCTTGTAGGACCAAGTCCTTAACTTGTGGGATCAGAGGTCAACTCCAGGTAGACAGAATCAGAACTGAATTCAACAGCAGGCGGCTCAGCTGGCATGACAGAACAGATTGGTATGGGGGAAAACCCACACGTTTGGTAACCAGAAGTGAAGTATTGCGTGTGTGCAGGAGACACACAGGAGTGATTTTCCTACACAGATGGTTTCCAGTTTCTTTAGCAATTTTAAGTTAATGCCATCAGCTGAAACGGTTTATTGGATGCTCTTAATTTTACTAAGAAAAAAAATTTTTTTTTAATTTCTTGATGCATTCAACATGGATCAAGTAGATTTTTGCTTTTTTTCCCCAAGAATGAAGAAGAAAAAAAATTCTTTTCTGTGATGATGACAAAAAGAGAAAATTTCTATTTGTATCATATACTCCAGAAATGAACTCACGGGTTCTCAACAGACCTCCACAGGAAAGAAACTGACAAGGAAAAAAATGAAGGGAAGGATTTTCCTGGCAGTCCAGTGGTCAGGACTTTGAGCTTCCACAGCAGAGGGCACGGGTTTGATTACTGGTCAGGAACTGAGAACCTGCTGTGTGGGATCCCCACAAAGTCCGGAAGCAAAAAATAAGGTACTGGTCTAGAAGGTGATGCTACCTTTTGTACTTACACAATCTCTTCTTCCACATTGTTAAAGGACAGTCTCAACAATTCTTGAAACTCACCTCCTCGGACTTAGCAACCACTCATGAGCTCCTACTCTACATCTGGTAAAAATACATTGATGTTAGAATTTCAAACATACTGGCTTCAGTTACAAGGCGTGATAATGATACTAACTTATGGTAACTGAAACCTTTATTCCATAATCACTTTATCTTTCTCCAATTCTCAAAGGATTTTAGATTAAAACTGGCACTCTTCTGCTTTTTCCAGTCTCGGAGGCAAACAACATGAAACAATTGTCCTCCAACGAGAGTTTAATTTCTCTTTCCCTGGGTTGCCAGAAATGCCACAGGGAAGAATTCAAAACAACTAAGCATTTGCTTGAGTTTTTGCCAAGAAAACTTTCCCCCACTTCCTTGATCATACTGATTCCCTTTTTGAAAAAAATCCTCTTCCATGTCAAAACAAAATCAAATAGAACCATATTTTTGCCTTTTGCAAATGCCTGTTTTATAATGCAGAATTTAACTGGGCTGACCCATTACTTCTTTCTGCGACCTCCCAGGAACCTCCATGCTGGCTGGAGCAGGGACCTCACAAGGAGATAACATTTAAAGCAATGTTTGGGCAGCAGTAACATAGGACCCAAAGGGATTGCTCTAAGGTTTTCAACAGATTAAACTATGGAATACATCCCAGGGAAAAAAATAAACGGAAATGAAAATACAATTACAGCTACCGTCAGTGCACCTGTGAAAACCAATACTGCTGGTTTTAGCCAATAGAACTGGGGTTTTGAATTTTAAATAAAGATCTCTATAACCCGGCAAGGTACTTAACAAATCCCAACCTTCCTTTTCTTAACTATTAAATACCTAACACCAGAATATTTAGGAGGACTATGATGATTAAACACCATGTGTCAAATATAAAAACTGAGTGTGTATAACAGAGTATAATTGAGTATATAATAGAAAGAAAACAAGAAATGAGTATGACTCACAAAAAATGTAATCACAAATTAAAATTCTACCAACTATAAGCCTTTTTCATTTAACGTTTTATCACATAGAATTCACTCTCTACCAAATATTGTGTGGGATTCTGGCATAAGCTCACAATATTCCTTCTGCTTGCAGTTTCCATCTAAATATCCTTCTATGAGAAGTCATTTCCAACCTGCTAATCTCTCCAAATCTGCTAATCTCCCCAACCTTCTGCAAGTTAAATATGTCTGTGTTCCCATCACATTGTGCTCATGACATTATTATACATATTATGGTATAGGGAGACCTGTGAACCCCAATATTTGCTACAGCATTCACTCCTGGGGGCAGAAATCCTTTCACAGCTCAATATATTCATTATCTACTAGGGACCAGAGCACAGTAGGCAATAAATAAACATCTGTGAATGTATGAATGCATATATCAATTATTCCTTTTTTCATCTTCTAAAAGTGGGGAAAATGTCAAACACCTCCTAAAGTGATTTCCATTTTTAATACAGATTATAACAAATAAAAATAAATCTCTCATTTTAGTGGAAATGAGATTTAGTGGAAATTTAAATGGAAATTAAATTAGTGAGATTTAAATCAAAATTCAGTTTCCATTGAGTGGAAATTTTAGTATATACACAGTTAACCATAGAACTGTTTCTATCACGTCGCCACAATACTTACTGGCTGGAACAATGAAATCTCCATGTAACTCATAGGTCATTAGCGGCTCTGGAAGACTCCTACATGGAAAAGAGAACTCAGAATTACCAAAAACAAACAGGTCACCTCTCTCTGCACTTTTTATAAAAGGATATTCAATATGTCATGCATTTCTTTATGTTCAAAACTCCCCAAGAAATACTTTTACATATCAGAAAAGATACATCATTCAAATGGATTCCTTTATTAAGTGTTATCTGCACCAGGCATTATCAAAAGCTTAAGCAGTCACAAATTCCTATCAGATCTAAGCATTTCACATTTAATCTTGGAAAGTACCTTTATAAACATCCGATTTCATACATAAAACTTCCTTCCACAGACTAACTTCTTTAAAGTCAAACATTTTATCCAACCAAATAGATAATACTGAAAATCACCCCTAGGGTATCAATTGAAGATGCCACAAAAAATATATGGAAAAGATTAAACAAACTTCAAGAAATCAAGCCCCCTCCTCTTGTATCTCATAAAAACATAATACTCGATTTTGATATATGCCTATGAAACAATAAAGATATAAAATAAAATTGATGACAACTTTAAAAAAATCATTTTAATTTTCTACAAAGCAGATTACATAAATAGTAGATTTCATCCTGTGGTCAAGAGAATGTTAGTTCAATCAACATTTATATGTATCTTAAATTTTAAAAGACCAGATCTTCAAACTCTATAAACACTTAAAGAACATGAAGATGAGTTTTCAATCTGCATCCCCTTTCTGGAGGGCAATCTGGAAACATAAAAGATAAAAACTTCTTAAAACATTTAGAATCAAGATTGCCAGGAGAAATATCAATAACCTCAGATATGCAGATGACACCACCCTTATGGCAGAAAGTGAAGAACTAAAGAGCCTGTTGATGAAAGTGAAAGAGGAGAGTGAAAAAGTTGGCTTAAAGCTCAACATTCAGAAAACTAAGATCATGGCATAGGGTCCCATCACCTCATGGGAAATAGATGGGGAAACAGTGGAAACAGTGGCTGACTTTATTTTTCTGGGCTCCAAAATCACTGCAGATGGTGACTGCAGCAATGAAATTAAAAGACGCTTACTCCTTGGAAGGAAAGTTATGACGAACCTAGACAGCATATTAAAAAGCAGAGACATTACTTTGCCTACAAAGGTCCATCTGGTCAAGGCTATGGTTTCTCCAGTGGTCATGTATGGATGTGAGAGTTGGACTGTGAAGAAAGCTGAACGCTGAAGAATTGATGCCTTTGAACTGTGGTGTTGGAGAAGACTCTTGAGAGTCCCTTGGACTGCAAGGAGATCAGTCCTGGGTGTTCATTGGAAGGACTGATGCTGAAGCTGAAACTCCAGTACTCTGGCCACCTCGTGGAAGAGTTGACTCATTGGAAAAGACCCTGATGCTGGGAGGGATTGAGGGCAGCAGGAGAAGGGGACGACAGAGGATGAGAAGGCTGGATGGCATCACCGACTCAATGGATATAAGTTTGAGTAAATTCCGCAAGTTGATGATGGACAGGGAAGCCTGGCATGCTGCTATTCATGGGTTTGCAAAGAGTCAGACACGAGTGAGCGACTGAACTGAACTGAACTGAACTGAAAGTAAAAAAATATAGCCACTCTGGAAAGAAGCTTGTCAGTTTCCCCAAAAGTTAAATATAGACCCATCGTAAGACCCAGGCACTATACTCTTTAGGATTCACCCAAGAGAAATGAAAGCCTCAGTGTTCAGCTGTGTCTGATTCTTTGTGACCCCATGGACTGTAGCCTGCCAGGCTCCTCTGTGCCTGGAATTTTCCAGGCAAGAATACTGAAGTGAATTGCCATTTCCTTCTCCAGGAGATCTTCCCAACCCAGGGATCAAACACCAGTTTCTTGTGTCTCCTGCATTGGCCGGAGGATTCCTTACCACTGGCACCGCCTGGGAAGCCTAAGTTCACTGAAAAGATTTATACACACAGGTTTTTAAAGTAGCTTTATTTATAACAGCCAAAAGCAACAAATAATGCAAGCATCTATTAACAGGTAAGTGGATAAAAGAAGAAATTTGTGGTATATCCATAAAAAGGAACACCAGTTAGCATCAAGAAGGAATGGATAACTTGTGCTTGCCACAACATAGGTGAATCTCGAATTATGCCAAGTGAAAGAACCCAGATTTTACTTTTTTTACTTTTTTGGCCATGCAGCATGGGAATCCTAGTTCCCCGACCAGGGACGGAACCAGTGCCCCCTGTGTTGGAAGAGCCAAGTCTTACCCTCTGGACCACCAGGGAAGTCCAAGCATCCAGACTTTTAAAAGTACATGCTCTATGACTCCATGTCCATGAAATTACAGGAGATGTCAATTAATGGACAGTGACAGAAAGCAAACCAAGCAGTTTGCCCGGGATGAGGGAACGAGAAGAGAAGCAGGAGAGAGAGGGAACTCAAAGGGGCTTGAGGAACCCCTGACGGCAGGTTCACCATCCCGACTTTGCTGACGGCTTCACAGACGCACAAGCACGTCAAACTGCTCAAGATATATTCTATGAATATATGCAGCTATTGTACATCAATTACACTTCAATAAAACTGCTTAGCAAAACATGAAAAAATATATTTACAGACTATGCTCCCTACATTTAATTTTTTACTGAATAAATTTCACTTGGAACATTAGATAAGTGGAAGGTGCACAGTGTGTTATTTTGATAATTTATATATTGTGATGGATAACCAATGTAGCAATATTTATCACATTACATAATTATAGTACACTATTGTTGTCTGCATTCATTATACTGTGCGTCACATCTCTACGGCCTATTTACTACTCATTATGGGTTTGTCCCCTCTAACACCATTCTCGCCCCTCCACCAGGCCCTTGTAGCCACTATTTTATCTTACGTAGAATGTCTGATGCTGCAGAACACACACACACACACACACACACACACTGACAACTAGACAGTGACGCTGAAACTTAAAAGCACTAGTGAAGAAAAGCTGTTCTCTTATTTCCTCTCTCTCTCTCCCCTTCATCCGCTAGACTCAAAGAAGAAAAATAAAACGAATTACACTACAGACTAAATAAAGAAAAAGAAGTCGCAATCAAAAAGCAAAGCTCTGGTTTTGTTTCAAAACGGGATCAAGCAGAAGTAGTGATAAAGGAAAATGTTTCATCTGTCAGAGAATGAAAGTTAAAGGGTTCCCAAAAGAAAGAGGGGGGGAAATGAGATCACTTAGAAATCCCATAGAGAGTGTTTCATTTCCAATAAAGATGAATTTGTATCTAAATATCTTCATGCTACTTACATCATTGCAGTATGTCTAGCCAAGCAATGTGGCATAAAAAAAAAAAAGAATTAAGTCTTGGGTTTTTTTAGGTTTGTTTTTTTAAGATTTTGGCTGCTCTGGGTCTTCCTTGTGGCTCGTGGGCTATTTCCTGCGGCCCACGGGCTCAGTAATCACCATTCATGGGCTTGGTTGCCCCGCAGCACGCAGAATCCTAGTGCCCAGACCAGAGATTGAATCCAAGTCGCCTGCATTGGAAGGCGGATTCTTCACCACCAAACCACCACGGAAATCCCTTAATTATTGTTAACATTGGGGAAGCAGTAATAAAAATGACAAGTTTTCCATATACAACTCATTGAGTCACTACATCGGTCGGCTTCTCATCCGACGTGAGACATTTTGGACACCTGGAAACAGGGGAGGCCCTCTCATTGTCCCAGCATTTGGGGAATTACTGGAAATCCCTGGAGGAGGAAATGGCAACCCACTCCAGTATTCTTACCTGGAGAATCCCATGGACAGAGGAGCCTGGCGGGCTACAGTCCAAGGGGTTGCAGAGTTGGACACAACTGAACACACATGCGTGATACATTTTGTCTTTTCTATTTGGTCCCTTTTTTAAAGTCCTTATCTTTTCTGAGATACACTCAAATATTTATGAGTGCAGCAATATGATGGTTTAGAAAACCTCTAAAGTATTAGCCCCAAAAAAGTGGCAGTAGGGAGACTGATGAAACAAGAAGTGTCGAATGTTGAAAACTGAAGAAGCAGGATACTGGGGCTATGAGAAGTCATTATATTCATCTTCCTGCCTATACGTTTGAAATTTTTAAAGTATAAAATACATACTAAAAGTTGACTCTAATGTGCTTGTTGGAACCCAGATAGCATTTCCCTTAAAAATAATCCTGTGTGTTGGTTAAAAAAAACTCATGCTGGGGAGGCAGTGCCATTTGATTGCCAGACAAAAATCAAAGTCCCCAGCAGACCCACAGCCTAGGAAGCACAATTGTGACTATTTTCCATTCCTTTGCTCCATGTACTTGTCCTTCATCTAACCTCCAGCTTTGTGATCATCTGGCTCCTTTATTTTTTCAAGAAAGGTGAATGCTCATAGAAATGCTGAACCTTCTTTGAACTCTATAGCAAATATGTAAAACTCAAAGTTCATCTTTAAAAAACACCTCATCAATTAAACTTCTTTCCAAATAGCTTTGTATCTTTGTGTCATTATCGTAAGTGTTTAATTTCATAGGGTTTACATTTAAATTGAGATATCTTCACTTTAGCCTACAACACAAGGAAAAGATTCAACAAATGGAATAAATAGCCTTCTTCCTCACTGTTTCAGAGCGTTTAATTCCGAAAACTCACGTCCACATTTCAAAACCCAAGTCTCTTCCAATTCTCTTCAGTTGCAACTGATCTGTCAGCTGATGTTCACTGACTATGGACCACACTTCCTGGAGCATCATTAGGTACCTCACAAATATACTTTCACATAAACTTTGACTTTTGAGTCGCACATGCAGAGTCAGCATTGGCTGTGTGTCAGACTCCCAGTCTGCTCCCCCCGCCCCCCCCCCCACCAAGAGAAGCTCACCTCAAATACTGCTTCAGGGCACTTGTTATTGTCTTCACTTCCCAGTCTATGGAATTCTCCAGGTCTACCTCATTGCAGGTCTTCACATCTAGTGAGCAAGCAAGGAAGAAACAAATATTAAAACCTGACCATGCAGAGGCCCTCTTGACTGGCTGACAATGCTTAGATTCTTAAACAGCCAAACCACAAATATCGAATTCTGTGGTTTCCTATAAAAAAACATTACATACAATTTCTTATCATAGTACAAGCCATGTTCTATTCTCAGACATTTCTAGCACTTCAGAAAATCTGTAGTGGAGATCAAAGTAAAAGGGTAAGGGTTGGGCTAGGAGTATGGAAGACCTTAGCAAAGCATTTTAGTATTCACAGCTGCAAAGCATATATCGCTATTACTACTACTATTATAAGATACTACTCAGCGTCGTGGCTTATAGCATGTAACATATAAAGTGCCTATATATTTGAACTTGCTTTGGGAGGCATTATTGTTACGACAGGGCAAACAGCACCCTTAATGTTAAAATTACTATAAGAAGATCAACAACTCAGTGGAGAAGAAGGAAGGTAAGTCTGGTCCCACACTTGTAAGGTTTGCACTCATCAGACTCTCTCTCCAAAGACTAATACATGATCAACCAAAACAGAAATACGATGACACATAAACTTAAAAAGCCTTTTATGAGTAATCTTTCATATTAACATTACAATTTACACACTCATCCAGGAGCTATTTATTAGAAGCCTCTACAAAACATTTCTGACATTCTAAATTAGTTTTGTCTTAAAATTACATTAATAATGTGTTTCTTCCAAATGCCCTTTCAAATACCTAGTAAGCTCTAAAGAAGATGTAAAACATGCACTAAAAAAAAGAACAAGAAGAGTTGAAGGAGAAGGGGCAGGAGAGGGAGGAGGGGATGGAATGTACAGTTAATTTTGAAAAAGAAAAAGTCAGTTCTGAAATTAAAAAAAAAAAGGGGGATGGTGGGAAAGGCAAGCATTCTGAGGGTGGTGGCATCTCCGAGCCTTGGAAGGCTGAGCTACTGCACTTGGCTGTGACCCAGGAGCAGGGAAGAGAGTGCATCAAGGAATCACACACCTAGGCTTAAGTCCCACTGCAAACCTGACCAGCTTCACCACTCCAAGTCATTTCTAACCTATCTGAACTTCAGCTCTTCCTGTGCACAATGGAGATAACATAAACACTCTATTGAGAGCATCAAAGTCAATCAGAGCTGTATGCAGATTTCCATAAATCATTAAATGTGCAGGTAATCACCACAACTGAGTACCAAAAGTATAAGCATTCTACCCAAAGAGAGAAGCAGTAAATGGGTTATGATGAATGACATCCATCGATCAACAGAAACTGGTATGAGTTTCTAAACTCCAACCATGCAAAGGAGAAAATAAGAGATTTGTGAAAGAGACTTATTTCCTCCCCACTTGGGAATGTTTCAACTAAGACTCCCCAAAAAACGAGTCGTTTCAGGGGTTTTTTCCTTCATTGCACTATATTTGTCTAAATATGCAAGGAAACACTTTATTAGCATACCCTTTTCAAATTAAAGCTCAAAAAGAAAATCCTGTTCAAATGGAACAGTACATTAAGTCACACATGCCCCTTAAAAGAGAAAGGATGCGTGACAACACAATGCTATCCTCAAATTTTTCGAAAATAAAGTAAAACAGGAAGTGATGGTTATTTCACAGCCATAACGTCAGATATATGAAGTCAATTACTCAAAAGTCTAGAGACTTTTTAAAGCACTTCAACAGCTCTTGATTACAGCAACTGACAGCAAGATGCAATAAACTACAACAATGGCAATTGACACTGATTACATTTTGATCGGTTCCTACAATTCAGAACTCATTTGTCACTGCGCTTGTCAGACAAGCCACAGATACATTCAAGAAATCAAATTAAGCACCCTGATTAAAGGTGCAATCCTTTATAACTAGGACTAAATAATTCTGCTCTAAAGGCTTTGCCAACCAATTACTGCAGTAACTGAATATTCTCTCTGTCATTAAATCAATTATTTAAATCTCATACAAGTCAGATAACATTTTCAATCAACTTGCTACCAGCAAACCACCATTTTAAAATCCAGGAGGCTTCAAAAGGAAATCTTTTACTTTCAGCTTTTGACCATCATTCTATATTTTGAGAATCATAGTCTTTCTATGGGAAAATAAGCCATCTTTTGTATTTATGGAATAAAAAGGAGCTGTCACAATAGAAACCAATGGCTACATGGCGTCCATGGTATTACTCCTCCATTAAATTTTCACTGTTTCCAAATAACTCAATCACCCACCCCTAGCAGCTCTTGAAAATCTGTGGATGTACTGGGACTAGATAAATTTGTCAGAAACTTATTTTGGATTCAAATTTAAAAATGCATTTAGAGTGTTCAATTAGAATATATGCTCTACTATAAATAAGGTAGAAATTCTGTTTCTTCTCTGGCCAAGGAATATTACACCACATGGATTAGTTTAAAACCTAAACTAGTAAGCAGAGACACAAAGAGTTGACTTTTTATTTGGATAGATGTTTCATAATTATATAACCAGTGGTCATCTTTTTGTTTTTTTTGAAACTGGAAACTTTCAGCTCAGCCCAAAATGCTGACATCTTACTGGACACTGACTTGGGTCCTAAAGTACTTGGAGATGCATAGTGACTGAATGAGTTTTGAGGATATTCTTTATAATCCAAAACCAGAAGCTTTTTCAGCTCCATTAGTTTGCTTTTCCCCTCAATCTATGTAGAAAGTCGTCCTACAAAACAAAGTAAACAACATAATAGGTTTACAGGAAAACAACTCTGAATCAGTTTGATTTCTGGCTTTCTATGGTTCTGTGTCTTAAATAAATAAAATCATCCAGCTGTTTCTACAAATTAAATTTAGAAACAGACAGAAGATTCACCAGCACACACAAGCTACCACTGAATTTTCCCAGCACTGCTCTGACGCTCTCATTCCACCGTGGAGAAGCAAGTACACAGAACGACTGTACCTCAGCTCAGTTCCAACCTACCGATAGCGACTGCAATTCATCTGTTACATTCTCACCCCACTTACTACAAAACCATGACTCACCCAAAGACACCTCATCTGCTGTTTCTCCCGGCCTATCCCAACTGCCTCAAGTTTCCCATAAAAAAACAAACAAACCAAAAAAACTTTTAACAGACTACGTGTGCCCTCTGTTAGAGAAAAGAGAAGAGAAAGGAGGAAAAGCAAAACACGTGGAAGGGGAAGGAAGGCACTGAGGCATGGTTTTGTGGAACCTTGAGCAGCATGGTCCGCGGGAAAGCTGGGAGGCTGCTGGAAAACTCAGCAGACTGCAGCTCTCTGCCCCAGGGGATGGAGAAGGGCCAAGAGGACAAACAACTCTCCTCGCGGGGGAAGGCAGCTTCCCCTCCTCTACCCCACCTGCAGCAGCACAGACAAGGTGTCTGTTTAGAGGGCCTTCCGTGGTCAACTGCCATCAGCATTTCATGGGTGGTGGAGAGAGGAGAAGAAGGGGAGAGGCAAACAGGAGCAGGGAGGGAAGCACAGAGAGGAAAAGGAGGGCAACGAAGAGGAGGAGGAGGAAGAAAAAATATTTTTCTCTGTTGCAATCTTAAATGTGAAGAGTGAAAACGTATCCAAGAGAGACAAGCAAGGAAATACATGCAAGATACTGAGCATGCACCCTTCTTCTAGAAATTATCACAAACGTTTACTACAGCAATATTTAAAAAGTGCAGAAAATATTTTAAACACAAAAATATTTTATGTAAAAATGGCAATAATAGAAAAATAATAGCAAAGTATATGATTGGTTCTTAAGAACTACAAAGAACCAGGCCAAAGGGAGGCGGGAGGGGAACCACACAAGTCCCTGTCAAAAAACATAAAAACAACTTAGAACTTATTCTCAGATTCTTAAGAAGTTATATTATTCTTCATTTCTGCAAAGAAAAAATGCATTATGAACAAAAACATTTTGAAAACAATCAAATTTGAAATAAACATTATCTAGAGGAACAGAAATTTTTAAAAAATAACTGCCTAAAAATGTTAAAACTTAGTAAATCTGAGGAAAGGTTATCATGGGACTCCATTGTACGATAGTTGCAATTTTTCTGTAGGCTTGAGATTGTTTCAAAATTTAAAAAAAAAAAAAGTGTTTCAAAAACAAACAAGTAAATATATATTTTTTAAAATAACTACCTAGTATCACAAAGAGGAAAAATTAACAGAATTAATAAGTTATAGGAAGGAAAAACAGATTGTTACAAAAGAGCAAAGTTAAAAATCTGGCAGACTCACCCAACTTTTTCTCTTTAACACATATAACTTTGAAACAGTGTAGAGAGGTTGGGAAAAGTTGGAAAGAAAAAACATCTATGGGATAGAATGTACACAACTATTCAGAATTCTAAAATTCTTTTTCTGAAAAGGTATAAATTAGTTCAATTTGTACACGCTGAATCAGGAAGAAAGGAAAGAAATCTCTTAAGGCCATCTTAAAATTCACTCGAAACAGTGAATGAATCTTAAGAACTAAAGGTTGAGTCGGTAACATAAAGTAACAACAAATGATGCTAATGCTAATGAAAATCCAAAGTTTGTGACTGACCACCTTAAATTCACACTAGGAATTATTTAGATATAATAAATAAATTTAAAAGTAAATAAATAATAAATTTATCCAGTACTGTTCCCTTAAATGCATACTTAATAAGGAAAATAACAAGTCAGTATCTTTCCCTTGTGTTAATTCTCTGATTTCCTCTGATGGCAGAATAACATTACTGAAAACACAGCATTTCTTTTGCCAGCAACTTAAATGTGGCGGTGTCACGCTTGTGTACTGGACTTCTCTACCCTGAGTCTCATGGAAAGTGAAAACAGTTTTCCAGGTCATGAAGTTTTAAGGGTTTAGATATTTTAAACACCTTGCAAGTTAAGGACTGCCTTGGGACATTTCCCACAAGCACAGCAAAGTACCACCCGGGTCTAGGGATGCTGATGATCATGTGGACTTTTATGAGATTAAGAACAAATGTGGAGGCAGCTTAACACCTCAGGGTGACCACAGGGACACCCACTTGTTCGAGCTGCCCTTGAACATGACGAGAAGATAACAAAATAACCCTAGGATCCTTATGACCCATTCACTGCCAAGTGGGCCTTCCAGCCAAATCTCCCTTTCTAATACCAACAACGTCTTCCAGTTCTAATCACTATAACACCATCTTGGAAATGAGAGAAGTGTTTCTAATTTTAAAATTAACTAAAAGCAGATGCTGTTGTCCCATTAAACTCTGCCAGCTGCTACTGAACCACTGGCAACCTGAGTCTATTTAATTTGGAGCTCACTAATGGTAAAAAGGAAAATCTGACTGCCAAAATTGCACACCCAAGTTAAACCAGAGAGGCAGAAAATGAAAACAGCTCATGAAACGCAAATGTATTCTCATAAGGCTCTTCCAAGTGATGACGAGTCATTTTTCCTGCAGTTAATATCTAAAAAAAGGGTTGTTGATTATTAAATCCTGAATTCAAACACAGCCAAACAAGCAATGCTATCTGTAACACCCAAGCTGATTTTAGGCAGTTCGGTTCATGCTTCCTCAAAGTGAGCCTTTGCAACAACGCTTAAAGAGGCAGACAGGTTTAAATGCATTGATAGAATACCTGAGGGTATTGTTAATATTGATTAAAGTGAGATAGCAAATTAATTAATATTTAGCAAGGTCATAATGACAGATCGGTTTGACACATGGGCCCTCAAGCCTGATGAGTTATCATCAGCCCCCCAGGAGGTAGCCTGCTTGGGGCCGGGGTGCAGGGGGAAGTGGGGCCTTTTACAGGTGGCACCGAGCTGACAGCAGTGTAATGTAAAAGCACTTTGTCATTCGCATAATGTCTGGGGTAATGAAATGAATTCACTTTCTGGCTTCCTCTCGTCTGCGATGCCAAAGAACACTGTGTTATCAGCACAGATGGAGAAGGCATGGTTCTGGAGAAGAGCCTGATACAAACAAGCCAGTGTGAATACCAATGAATCCCTGAGAATCAGACCCTCACTGTCGAGTGACAGCTGGGGAGCTCCAGAAAAACGAACAAGTCCCAGGGGTCTTGTCCAACCAAACGTACTGTGAAGACTGCACGGGCAATTTGGAAGCCAGGCAAATCAGAAGCCTGGCTTTTCCTTCCCTGGGAGAAGCAAGCAGAAGACATTCACCCATGAGCTGTCTTCTTTTCTTCCTCCCTTTCTTAGTAAGAGAGGCCTGAGCAAATACTAATCAACTTATCTGAGCCAACTCTCTGCTAAGGAGAAAACTCCTGGAGGCAGTAGAAGAACAGAATGGATTTCTGAGTTACGTTACTATGAAACATCAAGTTGTAAAGTCAACGAACATCAACAAATAACGCATGGAAAATGATTAGAAAAGAGGCATACCCATCAACATACTCAGAAGTCTCTGGACCTTTGAACTCACCCCCACAACTCGATACAATCCTTGGTCATTTATACCTATTGGAAGAGAAAAAATGTTAGCAAAATACAGTAATTCAAATCTGAAAAGCTGTCGACAAACAGCTGCACACAGAATCCTTGCTAGCTCACATTAACAGCATTCCTGTTGCCTATAAAAAATAATGTTTGACAAGAGCAAGTGTTTAGCAACTTGTCTTAGCAGCTTGGTATTCACGAGTTGCAGCTGGGAAAAAAATTAAGTTCCACGTGGACAAAATGTAAAGAGTAAACAGTAATGAAAAAACACTGGTTAAGCAGTCGTCACATATACCAATGCAATTTGTAAAGATGCACTGTATCTTTCACATTTCTTATGTTTAGGTATTCTTGAGATTGTTCTTGACAAGTTTTAACCTTTTAAAAATAATATGATGCTGATTGGTACATAGAAAGAAATTGTTTGGATGATTCTTGAAGACCAAGGAAATCACTTAATCAAAAGTAAGGCAAAACCTGTTTTCTTTTGTGTTTCCTTAAGGGCAGTATATGCATTGTCCAGAGAAGCACTAAAACTGCAAATGAGGATCGCATCAAAATTACACATCAAAATGAACCAAATCACTGCATTCTCTCTCTGTGGATACCTGGAAACAAAGTATCTCAAAGTACAACAGACAAGAAATAAAGGCAAGAAAATGTATCAGCAAATGTAACTTAGTATGTTGGACACAAGATTGTTTGAATTCTGATGTGAACAAGCCAATTGCAAAAGGACATTTTTGAAGCACTCAGGAACTTGGACTGGCATTAGGGTTATGTAAGAAAATGTCTTAATTGTTTATGTTGCATATTGAAAGGAGTAAGAGTAATCTATCTTAGATTTGCTTGAAGGAGGAGGAAGGGAATGAGGAGACTGTAGCAAAATCTTCAAAATTTTTGAGTCTGCACAAGAATGCAGGAGTTCATTGTACCCTCTACCTTTTCTGTACTTGAAATTTCCATGATAAAATCATGACTCCCCAAAAATGTGACTTAATATCTTTATTTCTTAAAAGAGGTGAAACTTTCTGTGTGTTTGTTTTCTGCACCACAAATGCTAAAACTAACAAGAACTGGACTGGCTGGTCCTGAGATCATGGCTCTAATCTGCAGTTTCTAAAACAAAACACCACACCAAAAAGGCCGAGGGACCCAAGGGAACCTTCTCTTTTTTTTTTTTTTTTTTTTTTTTGCCTCCCTGTATGGAACGGTGCCAAGCGTACCAGCCAGAGTCTAAAGAACTGGGTTCAAGTCACAGCCCAGTCCCTCCTGAGCCCTGAGACCCAGGGCAGGCCAGGAACCTTCTCTGAGTCTCGATGCTGCCTCCGAGGTCAGAACAGTGTCTCTCCCCATGTGCTAGGATGGCGATACAGGCCAGGTCTCTTGGCCTTCCTTAATTAATAGAAATTGACTAAGGCCAGACAAGAAATTCAGGCAAGGCTTTACTGGGGGCCCTGCTGTAGCATGCGGGAGCAAGAACAAATAACCAGTCCCCCTGCTCACAGCCCGAGGCCGGAGGAGAGCTGGTTCCTCACACAGGGTGGGGGTAGGGGCAGGCCCAGAGGTTGGGCTGGACGGGTGGCTTAGGTGGTCTGCCTCCCTTTTGGTGGTCGAGTGTCCAGGGGGGCATGTGCTTTTGCTTCCTGGCTCTTCACAAGTGGCAGCTGGATTTTTTTGGTCTTTCTGTATCTTATTGCCCATGATTTGCACCAACTGAGCATGCATGTAGGTATTTTCAGTCCTTTAAAGTTTCTTTGAGCTGAAGCTCCAATACTTTGTCCACCTAATACAGAGCCGACTCATTGGAAAAGACCCTGAAGATTGGAGGCAGGAGGAGAAGGGGACGACCGAGGATGAGATGGATGGACGGCATCACCGACTCAATGGACATGAGTTTGAGCAAGCTCCGGGAGATGGTGAAGGACAGGGAAGCCCAGAGTGCTGCAGTCCACCGGGTCACAAAGAGCTGGACTCGACTGAGACTGAACAACAACAGTTTCCTTGTATTTGACAAAGACAAACACAATGTTTCTTTGTCTCAGGGAGACATCTGTCCATGTGCAAGCATTGCAGCAAGGGTCCATGTCCCAGTCTGTCTCACTGGGAGAACACAAATGACACCTACATGTGCCCTGCCTATTATAACATACCACACACACTATGTTTCATTACTCCTTACAAAAATGAGGATTTCTGTTCCTTCTTTTTCACATTTTGGCCTTTATTTCTCCTTGTGTGCATGCTCAGTCGATCAGTCGTATCCAACTCATTGTAATCCTATGGACTGTAGCCTGCCAGGCTCCTCTGTCCTTGAGATTCTCCAGGCAAGAATACTGGAGTGGGTTGCCATTTCCTCCTCCGGGATATCTTGCCAACCCAGGGATCGAACCTGAGTCTCCTACATCTCCTGCATTAGCAGGTAGATTCTTTTACCACTGAGCCACCTGGGAAACCCTTGCGTCTCCTGACTCAGCTTCAAGCATCTGAATGTCCTGTTTGTCTGTTCTGTGTCCCCCAAAATTCATATGTTGAAGTCCTAGACCCCAGTATCGCAGAATATAAGAGTTTTGTAACTAAAGTCTTTAAAAGAGGTGGTTAAGTTAAAACAAGCCCATGAGGGCGGGTCCTAATCCAATAAGACTGGTATCCTTATAAGCAGATGTCAAGCCACAGACACACAGAAGGAAGACAATGTGAAAACGGAGAGCGAAGACAGCCATCTGCAAGCCAAGAGCAGGGGCTCTCAGGAGAAACCAGCATGCCAACAGCCTGTCTCGGATCTCCAACACCCTGTCTCAGATCCCCAGCCCCGAGAACTATTAGAAAATTCATTTCTCTTGCTTAAGACCCCCAGTCTGTGGTCCTTGAGTACGGCAGCCCCAGCAAACAGACACACCTTCTTTCTGGATTTTCTCTAGAGCTCAAAGAACCAGGGCGGCCAAGGCCCTTCAGTCTATACAAGGCTGTTCAGAAGACTCAAGAATCAGAGTAGCAGAGAGGCACCTTTGTGATGGGAAATGCTGGAAGTGGAAAAAAATGCAGGTCAGCCCTGCTAAGAGTTAGAAAAATGGTCAAAAAACAAAACTCAGAGCTTGAGCCTGCTAGAGGGAAAAAGACCAGACCTCACGTCTTCCTTCTCCTAGAAGCTAGAAGGCTATGTCCAGAGAGTTGGAAATACCAGAGCGTTTTTTTTCTTTTTTCAACACTCCTCTATTTAAGAAACCTAAAATAGTTTGGCCTCAAAGCCAGAAGCCAAGAGAGCAAGTCATATTGTGCAGACTAACATGGCCCTCTGAGAAGTGCCAGACAAATGTAGAGAAATGAAGTAAGAACGTTACTTCAGCAATAATCATCACTCTGTGCTGCTAATTACGATCAGATAATTGATCAAGTTCACATTCATCAACCCAAGAGAAGGAGAGTTAATTGCTAATGCATAATGAAAGGTGCATGGAGGAATTAATGCTACTCAACACTTTTTACTTTTTTTAAATAGTAAAAAGTTGTTCAAAAGCAACTTGGAAACAGCACATGGACCACGCATACTCAAGTCATATGCAGAAGCGTCTGTTTCTCGTCACACTGTCCTTAAGAGCTCTGGACTAAATAACCAGAAAAACTACACCTATGAACACACGCATGATGTGCAAAAGACATCATATAAATACATTTAAAGGCTATAAACCAATCAAAATGTCAAGTCATAGGATTTTACAGCCTCTGCAACTTCTTTCCAAATTTTCCTCTTCCAGGCAAAGGAATCATTATTTCTCATCACCAAGTATTATAATTTTGAAATTTTTCTTTAACTTCTTCCCTGTCACTTTCCAAATTCAACAGACCAATGTCTGCATTCTCTTCACACTTCGGACTAATCTCTGCTTCTTCAACATGGCCTTGAATTTGATGCCTGTGTGTTGAGCACCCCTAATAAGGACACACACATAATACAGTCTGAACACCATCATTTTTTTCTACTTTTTATTTTTCAAGTGACTTTGATTATCTTAGGTCTTTCCCATCCACGCTTAAGAGTAAGTCATCAAATGAAGTCCAAGTTTCTCAGCTGAACAAGCATGTAAGGCATAGATACATAACTCTTCATAACGAGCCTCACCTCACCAACCCATAATTTATTGTAGAGTACTCATCTAAATCAGAACAGACCCCTGACTATTACCCACGAAAAACCAAATTCATCCCTTCCTCAGGCACAAGTCCCCTCTGAGAGAGAAGTTCTTCCCTTTCTCTTCATTAATGACTCATCTGCCATATATTTATTCATTAAATATATGGCAGATGAAATTCAAGCTCCTAATTCATCTCCCCCCCACCACCATCTCCTCTGATAACTATTAAGTTTGTTTCTATGTCTAAAAATTTTTTTCTATTTTGTAAATAAGCTCATTTGTATATTTTAAACTCCATATATAAAAAGATATTAGATGATAGTTGTCTTTCTCCAACTGACTTGCTTCACTTAGTATGATAATCTCTAGGTCTATCCATGTTGCTGCAAATGGCATCATATTTATGGCTGAGTAATATTCCACTCCATATAGGTATCATGTCTTCTCTATCCATTCATCTGTTGATGAGTATTAGGGTTGCTTCCGTGTGTCAACCATTATAAACTGTGCTGCCATGAACAATGCGGTCCAGGCGTCTTTTTTGAGTTAGAGTTCCATCTTTTCTTGACATATGCCCAGGAGTGAGACTGATAGATCATATGGCAGCTCTAATTTTAGTCACAGTTTTTTTTAAGGAACCTCCATACTGTTCTCCATAATGGGTGCACCAATTTATATTCCTAACAACAGTGTAGGAGGGTTCCTTTTTCTCCACACCCTCTGATATTCCCTTTTTCTGAATTTGACTCATAATTAATTCCTTTTAACATTTGATTACATTTAAAACAAGCTCAAATCCTCCCATTCACAATTCCCCAAACCAAACATCTGAATGCCTGACCTGATATCAGGTTATTTCAGTCTGCTTTTTCCCCAGTCAGTATGAAT